GGTACTGTTCACACACCGAGGGCTAATAATTAACGGGGATTTGAATGTTTAGTTTGTGATATAAGAATAAATTTGGGAATGTTCAGTTACGTGGAGATCGATAGAAATAGCACTTTGAAATTGTGGTAGTGAGGTATTAACTGTGGAATATTGTGATTAGGTTCCTGATCGTTCTGTCAATTTAGCACTGAGATCGAGCCTTTGGTTTTAAGCGAGTGAGGTAAGTAAATTTATGGTAATGCCAGCACTGTTTTTAAAAGATGTTTTGACTTGTTTTTGAAGTGGTGGCGGGACTAAACCCGTTTTATGCAAAAGTAAGTATGACTGATTTGAATTGAAAATTTTTATGATTTTATGGATTTGAGCATGCCTACTTGAAGTTCATGTGATTGTCCTGATGATTTGAAAGTTAATGGTAAAGACTAATTTTCTGTTAAATTCAGCCTGTTTTGTCTCCGATATGGTCATGTTATTCTGTTGCCTGCTAGTGGGAGTTATAAACGCTAGCACATGTCGACATGTTACTGATAGAACCGGTTCGTTTCTGTTATCCTGCTAGTGGGATTAAACACTAGCAATTTCTGTTGCCCGCCAGTGGGAAGTTTATAACATTGGCCGTGACCTGTAGAGGAGACGTCTATTTCGTGCCCGTACTGTATCTGTTTTCATGATTACACTTGTTGGCATGCTATGAGTTTAATCAACGGTTTGACATGAGACGTTTTGTTATTGAACTAAATCTGATTTTACATTGACAGTTTGTCATTGAATGCTTTGCAAGTGAACTGAATCTGATTTTGTCATTGAGTGATTTGTTATGTTAAACTGGTTTATCTGGCATGCTTAAAAGTTCTACCCAAGGGCTATCCATATTTATTTACTGAGTTTATCTCATAGTTTTTCCTTGTCCACCATTTCAAGAAGCGAAACCGAAGACGGGAAAACCACGGGAAGTGACGAGTTAGAAGGCTAGCCATTTCGAGATTGATATAATTTTAGAAATAAATCATGTTTTTTTTTGTAAGATAGATTTTACCTTGTGATTTTAAGTTTAAGTCATATTGGACATAGAATTATTGAAATATCTGATTTAAGTTATTGGATTGTCAGATGTGAATTGGATAAGTTCCGAGCCTTGTGCATTTGTGGGATCCTCTCACGAGTACACAGTGTCTGTCGCGCCTCGGATTTGGGTTTTGGGGCGTGACAATATACTTTAATTATATTGAATTTATAACCAATTGTTTTAAAATTTTACTTCAATTACTGTACAATAATGTGACTTCTGCATCTATATATTATTAAAGTTAAAAACAATTTATCCAAATATATAATCTGATTTCTACTTCAATTAAATAATATGTTTCACATATACACATTATATCATATTCAAAGCAAATTTTACAGTTTGGTTCTTATTTGTTCCATTATTCTTAGACTAAGGATGTAATGATTAAGATGTAAATAATTTATATAAACATATTTCTTAATAATGATTACTAAAGTATCAAGAATTATGAATGATTTTAAATTGTAATGCATAATTGATGTGAATGTAACACCTGTAAGTAAGAATACTAGGAGCCTAAAATTGAAGAATGAGACACTGCGAGAAATCTAAAATTATTTTGACATTTTTTTATCAAAAATCTAAAATATATATTAAAAGGGTAAATTGGTACACTTTTGGGTTTAATATATCCGTCAACACTTATCAATTTAGCAATTAAATTTTACAATTGAAAATTTTCTTACCTTGAATTAAAATTTGAAAATAATAATTTTTTAATAAATGTATTGTAAAGTATATTAAATTAAAGAGTACCAATCATTATCCATAGTAAAAAATTCTTAAAAGTAAGAACCTTTAGAGGGTTTTGATATATTCATTAAAAAAAGCTAAACAATTCTAATATACACACAACAAGGGAGAGATTGTGGTGAAAATAGTATATAATAATAAATAAAGATGTAAAAAGTGACTAAGAAATAATAACATTGAGGGAATAAGTGTAATGGAAGAAAACTAATAACAAACAAATTATTAATGAGAAAACTAAGGTGAATGTAAAGTAGATAGATAATTATAATGATAAAATATGAGAAAATAATTTAAGAGATGAAGTCTCAAGGAAAAATTAATTAAGGGTGAAGTATAGGTAAATAAAAAAAATGTCATGAGAATAATGCTATTTAGTTATATATATATATATATTGAATTAAAAACTTCTAATACAACCATTCAAAAAAGGGGAGACAATTTGAGTTAAAAAAGAAACATATAATAGTAAAATTATAAATAAAAAAAATTAATGAAGATTTGATGAATTGGTCTTCTATATTTATCTCAAAAATTTTAATTAATATGAAAGTTAAATGTATATTTATAATAAATTAATAACGGTTTGAAATGGCTTTATAGTTACTAATTAAATATTAATTTTAATTTTAAATCAACATTATTATATTTAATAATTATTAAATAAGTGCAATACAAATAAATCGTGCATTGCACAGTTTTAGAGCTTAGCTTTCTATTAAAAAAAAAAGTTTTAGAGCTTAGTTGAAAACCAAAAATTAAAACCATGCTATAGAGAATTAAATAATAATTGCTGCCTTTAAATAAAAAAATACATAATAGCAAAAATTTGATAAGGCAGCACGTCATCATTGGAAGCATTTTTCCTAATCCGGCGTACGTTAAGGATAGACTCAAGACACCATGCCTGGATCAATATCACTAGTTCAGACTTCTTCTGTGAACCGAAGCTGAAGTCACTATTGTTTTATTTTTACCCAAATAAGAAGTACATTAATTAAATGTAAAAATACATGAAATACCCATACATAGATGGGTTAGGTTTATTAATAAAAACTTATTAAATTGGTATCTATTAATTTTAAAATTTTAATTTAAAATTAAAATTAAAAATTTAAATATCTGTACTATAACTAACTGTTTAATATATATTTATATATATAAGGAATGAGTTGTGTTTTACAAGGAAGTTTCCATTAACGATATAATTAAAAAAAAAAAAACCTGGAATGGATTTCTTTTTGGGATAATAAAAGTGGTATCTTTATTCGTTATATGGGATGGCTTGGAGCCTTGCTTGTTGTTGATAGAAGCGATTCCTTGACGCAACAACTAGGCACTTCGTCGTATTTCAGTCAAAATATGATGAAAATATAGTGAAAAATAGATATTTAAGGTTTAACACAAAATTTATATTTAATCTAAAATTAATTTAGTAATATTTATTTTTTTCCACAAACTTAATCACTATATTAGATTAATGAATCCAGAAAAAGATTGATTTGCGATCTTCAAGTCAACAGTTAAGATTTCATAAACTTAAACTCTAAATCAAAAATCCAATTCTAAGAGGGAGCTTTCACACTGAGTAAAAGCAATTTCATCTAGCAGAAGGAAAGATTACCTGTAAAGCCCTAAACAATCCATAATTCACAGGTGAAATAGGGTCCTTGGTTTGTTGTGTTATTAACGTCCTTTAGATGTTGTTTGTAACGTGGGAAGCATGGATCAAGAGAACAACAGCGACTAGCTTCGATCAAAAGTGCAAGGGAGAAGATCTTACTAGAGGGTTGAAAGCAAAGGCAGATGAAGAGGATTTGCAGCATTTTTTAGGGTTTTTTTTTTTTTAATCACAGATTTGCAAAGAAAAAGAAGAGAATGATCTAAAATTAATAGAAAAGAAGTCATGAATCTGAGCCATTGAGAGTGCCAACAACGGCTCCCATTGTAGGGTTTCCTCATTGGATAGGCAAACAGGAGAGGACCTTAGTTAATTAGCAATTGATAGAGTAATTTTCTTTACATTTAACTCTCCATATTTTTTTATTTAATTATTTCATGTGTGATTTTCTCACTCAACACATACATTAAATTGTCTCTAAAATTTAGGTTTTTTGCTTTCCAATATCAAAAAGTGGTAAATTAGATACTTTATAAATGATTGTATTTTTTGTATATACATTAAATGTATGACATTATAAAAATTTAAATCCATCCTATTGTAACTCTAAAATTAAAATTTTTAATTTGCGAATCCCAACTCAGTCAAGGGATCGTATTAGTCTATAGATCATTGCTTCTAACGTGTTATATATTCATATGAGAGGATTAGCCTTTGGAGATGGGTGAAGTCACTGGTTCTGACTTTTGAGAATCTGACCCTACAATATTTTAATTATAGGAGATAATGGAAGAATTTTTATTTTTCGTAGATAGATGATGGGAAGATTTGAACGTATCCATCACCCGAAAATTTATTTCTTATTTCTCTATTATTTAACTGTCAAGGATACGTTCCTTACCTTCGAAAAAGAAAGTATTACGTTAAAGTGCATTCTAGTCCTTTATATATATATTAGATGATAATTTGCTTCTTTTATTTCACTTTTTATAACAATATGCTCATATCGGCTTAGGTAATGTTTTTTATAATCATTTTCGAGACATCTTTGTCTCTCTAAGGTCTGAGAATATCCAAAACATGTTTAAGATTATAGAATTAAGAAAAAAAAATTAGGAGTTAAGATTGATGTATGAAAAAATTTGAAATACGCTCTTTTTACTTTTGAAATATAAATGATGAATTAGGCATTTGATCAAAATTCAGTTATACATGCATGTTCAATGAATTAAAGAACAATTAATCTCATTGATGAAGTTCCTTCTAATATCTATGAACCTGTAATGAATGATATGCGGAATATGTAGGTTTTTTTAAAAAATAATAATTCATATTATTATTCCACGTGAGATACTAAATATTCTTTAATCTTGAAGATGAATAATACATGAAGATGATTTGAAGATAAAAAACAAAAACAATTAATAATACTAAATCCAGACCCTCCAAATTCAAATATATACACCGACTAAATCCACATTCGCAAATAGATACTTAGAGTTCCCTAACTGTCTATTTTTGTATTTTGTACTGCTTGTATACTATCATTTTCAATTTTTTTTTTTTATATATATATATATATAAAAACCTTATGTGTTGTTTTACATTTTTAAGGGCCTTCTTACAAATTGCCACAATTGACTGAATCCTTTTCCCACAAGGCAAGGCATGTTCTCAACTTGTTCCCTTTACGTACATGTACATCAAATATATATTTGTATTTAAAAAACCGAAACTGAACTATAAAAGACTTTGCCTTGTCTCTACCTCTCCAAGTCCTAAAATGGCTTCTTCTTTCCTCTACTTCCTCTTTCTCTCCCTAGCCTTACACTTCTTTGTTTCAGCCTCAAGTGCAGAAGCGACCTTTGAACCTGATGCCTTCACACTTCCAATAAAAAAGGATAATGCAACCCTTCAATATACCACCACAATAAAGATAGGGGCCAATGCCTCCTCCATTAATGTAGCCATTGATATTGGTGGTCAGCTATTGTGGTTCGATTGCGACATTGGCTATAACTCTTCGGCTTTTCATTACATTCAATGCGGTACAGCGGAGTGTGACGTTGAGGGAGCTGCAGTTTATTGCAAAATTTGTTTTCCTTTACCAAATCTACCACCTTGCCCATTAGCAACATGTGGTATTGATCACTATAATCCATTCATCACTGGAACAGGATCAATCACTGGAACAGGTTCATCTGGGGACCTAGCCAAGGATACCTTAACAATTAACTCAACAAATGTGAGAGGAAAAAGAAAGCGAGATAAGGTTCCTATAAATGTCCCTCTATTTTCTTTTTCTTGTGTACCTTCGAAGGACATAAAGGGCCTTGCCTCCGGTGCTTTAGGCATTATCGGCCTCGGAAACACTCCGACTTCACTACCAATGCAGCTTTTTTCAATGTTCAACATTTCACAAGAGTTTTCTATGTGTCTGCCCTCCACATCCCAAACAACCGGGAACATTTTAATTGGCTCTGGTAATAAAACTACATTGTACCGCGATTTACTAATAACCACGCCAATACTCATTAATCCAGTGAGTGAGTATCCATTTCCAGATAGCCTGCCTTCATTCGACTATTTCATTGGAGTGACATCTATTAATGTTAATGGACAAAATGTGTCCTTTAACTCCTCATTGCTATCCTTTGATAATGAGGAAGGAGTAGGTGGGACGAAGATCAGCACTGCAACTCCATACACTATTTTACATACTGACATCTACAACCCTTTTCTTGACAAATTTGTGAAGAGTGCTACTACTTTAAAGATTGAGAGAGTGGCATCGGTGTCACCCTTCGGTGCATGCTTCAACTCAAAGACCATTCATAGAATAGGGGAAGAGCTGCATGTGCCCACCATCAATCTGGTTTTGCAAAACAACACCGTATATTGGAGGATTTATGGACATAACTCAATGGTGAGGGTGAAGAAAGGTGTGATGTGCCTAGCATTTATGGATGGTGGATCAAATCTGAGAACTTCTATAGTTATAGGAGGGCATCAATTGGAAAATAATTTTTTGGAGTTCAATCTTGCATCTTCAGAGCTACGATTTAGTTCTTCGCTCTTTACTAAAAATAGAAGTTGTTCCCACATGGGAGGATATTACTTAAATTGAGCTTCGTTGAGAGGCTTTTGGTTGTTAGGTGGAGTGTGAAAGAATGAAAAGATGGTTTTCATTATAATGTAACCCTTGAAAAAAATTAGTAGTAAGTAACCCAAAAATAATGTTAAACTCAAAGGTAAAGATACTAATTAATGCCTTTGGGTTTTATTTCAATTGCTTAATTAATAAAAAATCTTAATAATATCTGCTATTAAAATTTATTACTATAGTGATCCAAATATTTTTAATAATTTGTTTGTTTTGAAAGGTAATGGGAAAAATTTTTCTATTTAGATTAAAAACTATATCTTTACATTTTAATCTAATCAAATAAGAGGGGATGAAAGAGTACCTTTCTCATTGACACTTGTATCTAGAAACATCAACTTCCATTTTAGACTTAACATGTTTAGCAAGTTGTCCACTATCAAGTGTGGCGCATTTGTCACTAATGTCCTCAATGCATTTACTAAGAACGGTCATGTCACTAATCTATTCTTATTAATTTTAGAGCATGCATGCTTTCTATAATATATTTTGAACTTGAAACAGTTGTTAGCATTTTCAAAACTTGTATAGATTTCCCAAAAACATTCATGTTTAACATCACAAGCATACCATTGTCTTCTTGGTTCATTTTTCTTCCAATGGAAATTGCATCCTTTTTTAACAGAGCATTTGCCGATGGCTTCCATAAAGTAAATTGCATTTTCGAAAATCATTCCAACTTCAAAGTGTGAAACTTCACTATTAGGATCATAATGAAGGTGACTACTTACTATCCTTAGTTCATCATACAAACAAATCCAAGTCCTCAATTGAACTATCACTATATTAGTTACTAGGATCATTACTATCAACATATTTACTATCTCTATCAGTAAACTTAGAATCACTATTCTCCAAATTAGAATTTGCAACAAATTGAGGGCCTTCATCTTTAGCATCTTTAATTACATTCCCCTTTAAAGCTTGGTTTACATTATTGAAATTTGAAAAAGCTTTCTTTTAGACACCTCTATCACCTTTTGTTTGCCTTTGTCAATTGGTTGACTTGCTACACACTTATAAGTCTTAATATTAGCATATCTCTGATTCATTTTCTCAATACTAGCCAACATTTTATCATCATCTACACCACTTCCTAGGATGTCATGTTGAAATAACACCATTTTGCCATGCCTAGCATGCGTTGTACTTGACAATTCACTAGCATCAATATTTAACTCATAAAGAAAAGGCCTTACCAAAGTTCTTACTCCAATTTCTCCTAGCATGTTAAAGTTGTCATGCTCCAAATATACATGACAAATTCCCAACTCATCAATATTTTTGCAATCTTAATTATCTTTACATCACTAGTTAAAGGCAACAAACCATTTATAAAAGGCAAGTTAGGAACTTTGTAATACAATGCCTTTACTGATTGAATGGTGACCTCATTAAGCTTATTGGTGATATCAAAATAACATAGATTGTCAATGTCATTAACTCCTAAATCATAGGTTTCACCTCCAACATGACGTGAAACATTTCTTCTAACATGTTCAGCATAATGGATATAGACCTTAAATGATGCATCATCATTCGACATCGTTGTTTTTAAAATGACAAAATACACTAAAATAGTAAACAAATCATCCCTAATATTGTTAAGATAAATTGCAAATTCATGGATTTCACCCCAAACTCCCCCTTTATCAGTCCTTTTTGCATGTCCATATAAAATCCTAAACCTTTAGACCCACATAATAGTTAATTAATCACTAATTGCATACTTAAATCACAAAGAGTAAATTAATTGATGAACAAAACCCTAATACCCATTTCACCCCATATGCTTTAAAACTTATTCAATGGTTGAATAATGAAGTCCGCTTACCTTTTACAAATGAGATCAACTCAAGATTTAAGGAGATTCTTCCAAGTCCGGTCATCCTTAGTGGGCCCTTCTATGTCTTTCTATGTCTTTGTCTACAACTTTTCATATGGAATTCTTAAGTATAAAAGATAGTGACTTCCCCTTTTTCTCTTTTTCTTTTTTTCTTGTTTTAAACTTTTGCATCTAGTGGACTAAATAGGTGGCAAAAATCCCACCCAAATGACAAATGCCTTGCCACATAGGCATGACATGGCAATATTTGCCACGCGAGCGAGTTCCCAAATAACAATTGAGTTGGTCGGCCATAAGAATAAGGGCTAAATTGCTCTAATCGTAGAATCCAAGGGCTTATATGCATTAATTAAACTGTAGGGGCTCAATAGCGATTTTGGGGTTAGTTTAGGGGCTTAACTCGTGGTTTTGCCTTTGGAGGGCCTTCTTACAAAAGGCCCATGATTCTCTAAGACTTTGTCAAGGCTTAAAACTGACATCATTGACAAGCCTTTTGCAGTTTTGCCACTAGGACTAGGCTAGGCTATTTATCTTGTTGTCTTTATGTACATCTGACTTTTATGTAGAAAAAAAAATTCAAAAATTGAAGTATAAAAACCTTTACCTTGTTTCTCCTCCTCCAAGTCCTAAACGACTTCTTTATTCCTTAGCTTTCTCTTTCTCTTCTTCACATTAGGCTTATGCATTTCAGCCTCAAATACAGAAGCTATCTCTGAACCTTAAGCCTTCACACTTCCTATAAAGAAAGATAAGGCTACCCCTCAATAAATCATTATAGTAAAGATAGGTGCTAATGTCTCCTCCATTAACATAGTCATTAATATTAGTGGTCAGCTACTTTGACTCCACATTGGCTACAACACATCTTCTTTTCATTGTGTTACATGTAATTTAGATAAGTGTGACACTATGGAAGGAGCGGTTTCTTACAAATTTTACATTCCTCTACTAATCTACCACCTTACCAATTCAACACATATGTTATTGGTCACTATAATCTATTTTTCATTCAAACTAAATCACTCATTGGACTAGTAATAATGCTTGGAACAATACCATCTACTGACCTAGCCAAAGCTACCTTAACAATTAACTCAACAAATGTGAGAGGAAAAGGAAGAAGAGTCCAGGTTCCTATAAATTTTCCTCTCTTTGCTTTTTCTTGTGTAGCTTCCAATGACATAGTGTTAAAGGCCTTTGCTACTAGTGCATTAAGAATTATTAGCCTTGGAAAGACTCCAACTTCACTACCAATGCAACTTTTTTCAATGTTCAACATTTTGCATGAGTTCTCAATTTATTTGCCTTCCTTTTTCAAAACAACTAGAACCATTCTAATAGATGCCAAAAATAAAAATGCATCCTATTGTGGCTTACTAATGACCACACCAATACTCAACAATTGGGTAAGCGAGTATCAATATCCAGACAATTTGGCTTCATTTAAGTATTTCATCATAGTGAAGTTTATAAATATTAATGGGCAAATGGTTTGCTTCAACACCTTATTGCTATCCTTTGATAATAATGAGGAGGGAGCTAGTGGGACCAAGTTCAACATTGAAACTCCATACACTGTTTTACATACTAACATCTACAATGTTTTCCTTGATGTCTTTGTGACAAGCACTACAACTATGAAGATTGAAAGAGCGGCACTAGTTGCTCCCTTTCGTACATGTTTCAACTCAAAGGCTATAAGAACCATAGTAGGTGGGTCAGATGTGCCCACCATAAATCTCGTTTTGGAAAGCAATAGTGTGTACTAGAGAATTTATAGAGATAAATCCATGGTGAGGGTGAAGAAAAATGTTATGTGCCTAGCATTCATGGATGGTGGATTGAGGCCCTAGACTCCTATAGTCATAAGAGGGCATATGTTGGAGAATAATTTTTAAGAATTTGATCTTGCATCTTCAAAGCTATGATTTAGCTCCTCTCCTAGCTAAAAACATAAGTTGTTCCCACTTGAGAGGATTTTACTTATAAGTTGACAATCTACCATAAGAATGATGGAATAAAAGAGAACCACTTCTCATTAAAAGTAAGCTATGAGTTGAAAATAGATGTATAATTATTTCTAATTTCCTAATGTATGCTGAAGGACTTTTTAATTAAGTTAAGTCACTCAAAAAATGAATAAGTACTTTTATTCAAGTTTTACATGATTCTTTGAGTCATTATGTAAGGCTCAACTACTTGGATTCGAATGGAAGTGCAATATGAAGGACTGGTTTCATTGGTAAATAATACTATCGTTCTAAAAGTTAAATTCAGAATATAAATTTTAAATTTAGTAATGCTCAAAAAAAAAAAAAAACCAATATAGATGGTGTGCTTTCAAAATTATCTCAAAAGAAAATAGTTTCAAAATGTAGGAAAATTGATCTAAAAATACCTTAATTGTTGAGAAAAGAAGGAGAAGAAGAAGAAGAAGAAGAAGAATGGAAATGCTGTTCGTCTGGGCATGGTGTAGATTAAGGGTATGGCACGTGAAACGCTGTGGTCCGTGGTCCTTGTCTTCGTTACCCAGTTAGGCAATCTTGCCACGTGCCAAGCTCTGGCTGGCTGATCAATGAACCTATCGTCAACAAAACTTTTCAGCTTTCCTTAGCATTTAATTTCTTTTATATATTATTATCAATTGATTTTTTATTTCTATTAACATCTGAATTTAATGTCAATGAGTTAAATAAAATAGTAGTAATTTTTATATTAAAAATAAAAAATTTTAAATTTAAATTGTATAATATAAAAGTAGATTAAAAGTAAAAAAAGAAAAAAGAAAAAAGTCGTGTTTTATAGTTCTAAAAATTATTTGGTCTTAAAGGTAAATAGAATAATATTATCAGGAGGGGCCCGAGTTCCTCCTCCGCCAAACCAGATCCCGCTAGCCCTCTTGCCATGCAGCCCATGACTGAGAACCAACCCCTGGGCGATAGCCCAGCCCCTTGCACCCCTTGCTGCTTACAGGAATTAAGCATCAACTTAGGTCAACTTGTTAGTAAATTATCTCAATTTCTCTATAATATAGATGCGTTTATGGTAAAAATTGCAATAAATCTGTTTTTCCCCTTTTTGGTAAATTTTCTAGCATTTTCTTTCCAATTTTGTTCTGCCTTCTGAATTTTTTATTAAAAATGAAAATGAAAACGCCTATGGGTGCCTAGTTCGGCGGTGCCCCAATACCAGACCATTGCGTAGTGGTTTTAGCAACACTGCTTACCACACAAAAACTCAAGGACGGATTCTTCATGGCTGTCCAACATCACTAGTTTGAAATAAAACAAGATTAGATCAATAATTTAGTACAAATTGCAAGGTCCTGCATTTTTATACTGTAGGAAAAACTTTTAAAAGTTAACGTATCTTAACTAAAACACCATTAATTAAAATTCTTGGTAGATAGAATGGACAGAAAATCGACATGATGAAGTCAAAAAAACATGAAGGTTACATCAAGGTAAGTCAATCAAGAAATCTGTTCAACTCTTTACTCTTTTGACCTTTGATTTTTATGATTCTGCAACGATGATTTCATGTTCCTGCAGCACCTGTAGTCTAGATTTTTAGTCACTTTTTTGTTATATATGATCTGTGTATTCGGTTTTTGAAAGAATAAAACAAAAGACTAATATATAATAGACTGAGTTTCCCAGAATTTAAAGAAAAAAAATCTCCAAACTCAATAATGAAAAACAAAAGAGTCTCTAGTTTCATGAAACCTTAAAAGGTAAAAATTCTCCACTCTTCATGTAGAAAAGGAAAATCTAAAGTTTGAATTACTAAGCAAACATTTAAGGAGATCATGGTTATGTTCGTTATTTGTATGGAATATTAAGATAACATAATGCAGGAGTTATGGAGAAGCATAATAGCAAACCTTAACCCATTTGCCTTGCACCTGAGCCATAAGAGAAAAGGATTAATATTGCAACACCATTAATTCAAATTATAAAACACCAGTTGTTAACTTTTATCTTGGTAGCCAAAGAATGCCCTCAATTGAAAATAATATTGCAAAAAATGCATCAAATCTTTGACACAAAGTTTGGTATTTTGCAATTCAAACTATAAAACACCAATTATTGAATGTAGAAATTCTCCCCAAATATTAGAGGTTCCTCTTAATCCAATAACTAAAATTTCATAATTGATCTAGTCTAAACTGTAATTTTTTTATCTACACAAACATTATGGTCGAACTAAGAAAATGTTACCAACTTGGTTTGTAAATTCGGTTGTCAAGGAAAGGTATTTTCTCTGTAGAGTTTTTGAATTTAGTGTTGGAAAGCCATACCATGTGCAATGCTGACAGAGCTTCTTTGGAAGCTAATGGCATGTAACAAAGGATGTGATTTAAAAAAATGATTAATTGAGACACTACTAACCCCAGTCATGCTTTTCTCTTATGGCTCAGGTGCAAGGCAAATGGGTTAAGGTTTGCTATTATGCTTCTCCATAACTCCTGCATTATGTTATCTTAATATTCCATACAAATAACGAACATAACCATGACCTCCTTAAATGTTTGCTTAGTAATTCAAACTTTAGATTTTCCTTTTCTACATGAAGAGTGGAGAATTTTTACCTTTTAAGGTTTCATGAAACTAGAGACTCTTTTGTTTTTCATTATTGAGTTTGGAGATTTTTTTTCTTTAAATTCTGAGAAACTCAGTCTGTTTTAGTCTTTTGTTTTATTCTTTCAAAGACCGAATACACAGATCATATATAACAAAAAAGTGACTAAAAATCTAGACTACAGGTACTGCAGGAACATGAAATCATCGTTGCAGAATCATAAAAATCAAAGGTCAAAAGAGTAAAGAGTTGAACAGATTTCTTGATTGACTTACCTTGATGTAACCTTCATGTTTTTTTGACTTCATCATGTCGATTTTCTGTCCATTCTATCTAGTGTTTTCTAATGATGAAAATTATCATGATTCTTCAATTTCTCACTGGATCGTGAATAGAAAACCCATTTGATTGATTAACAACTCTGTGCATTTGTAATTTTGCATCAGCTGGCTCAGATGGGAGCTGGGCCTGGAGCCAGAAGCTCACACGCCATCGCCATTGTAGGACAGAAAGCCTATGTTTTTGGCGGCGAGTTCAGCCCACGCGTCCCAGTGGACAACAATCTCCACGTCTTCGACCTAGAAACCCTAACATGGTCCGTCGCTAACGTAACTGGCGACATCCCCCCTCCGCGCGTCGGGGTCACGATGACATCCATCGAGGAAGTCGTCTACGTTTTCGGTGGCAGGGACAGTACCCATTCGGAGCTCAACGAACTATACTCCTTAACATGCGGACGAACAAATGGACCCTCCTTTCTAGCGGCAATGCCAGCCCCCCCCATCGGAGCTACCACTCCACGACCGCCGATGACCGACGAGTGTACATCTTCGGTGGGTGCGGTGTCGCCGGAAGGCTCAACGATTTATGGGCCTATGATGTCATTGACGGAAAGTGGATTCAGTATCCAAACCCAGGAGAAAACTGCAAGGGTAGGGGTGGGCCGGGCCTCGCCTTGGCCCGAGGAAAAATATGGGTCATATATGGGTTTCTGGAGTGAAAATGGATGATGTGCATTGCTTTGACCTGGTTCATGGACAATGGGCCCAAAAGGAGACCCACGGGGGGGGAGAAAGCTACGGCTCGGAGTGTATTTTGCACCATCTGCATCGGAAAATACATAATCATACACGGCGTGGAGGTGGATCCAAGTGACTTGGGCCACCTCGGTGCAGGGAAGTTTACCGGAGAGGTTTATGGGCTAGACACGGAGACATTAGAGTGGAAGAAGTGGGTGGATGGGCCGGGGCCAGATAATCATCCTGGGCCTAGGGGGTGGTGCGCATTTGGCAAGGGTTGGAGAGATGGGCAAGAGGGACTGTTGGTGTATGGTTGCAACTCTCCTACCAATGATCGGCTTGATGACATTTCCTACTTTACTCCTCTGTATTGATGGAATTGAAAACTAATGGTTGGTGTGTTAGGTTATGATGAATAATGTTAAATATTTAGAAATGTGGGTTTTGGGTTTTATGTGCTGTATAAAAGACATAATATATGGTTTTCTATGAAGTCCTTAGAAGACAGAAATAGCATTTTGAATTCTCTTTTGAATGATAAATTATTGAATGTTTGAAGGAATATTCTAGATTGAAAGCTGTACATCACAAATTAATTATTATTTTTTATTAATTTAGGTTGTACTAGACAACATGTTGGAATATTGGTATGCAAATATTTTTTTAGTTCCGTTTCAATATTTATTTTTTTTTTCTTTTAACACTTTAGGAAATTTAAGGTTTTTTTTTTTTTTTT